AGCAAAAATTTTCTTTTTGAAATCATAAACAACTCCCTTCCCCTGGGAAAAAGATGAACTTAATAGAAAACACTAAAAACATTTTTTATTTTTGAAACACTTTTAAAAGGTTGTTTGGATTCCTGTTAATAAAAGATTATGAGAAAAAGTTACCTTCTTAGTTTTATCAAAGTTTAATCAACCTTTCATAACACAAAATTAGCCACTATTTGCCATGCCAATTTATTATAAAGAAAATTACCTTAGAAGAAACCAGGCGATGCCAATATATATATATATATATATATATATATATATATATATATATATATATATATATATATATATATATATATATATATATATATATATATATATATATATATATATATATATATATATATATAATTTACGACTTCGTTAGGTTTAAAAATAAGGTTAAATATGTTTATAATTCTCTTAAATATTTTAAATTTTATTTTTAGTCTCTTAAAATATTTTTTTTAAAATGATCTTTTTAAAAGATTTTATTAATTTTTTGGTCTCTCATACAACTTAACGACATAATTATCGACAGTTTTAACGAAAGACTATTACTTAGTGACTTGCAATTTTAACACTTAGTATTAGGGACCAAATGTATGGATGAAATTTTTTAAAAAGTTCATTTTTTGAAGGAAATATTTTGAGAGACTAAAACCAAAATTTAAGATATTTAGGTGGACCACAAACATATTAATCCTTAAAAATAGCAAAATATCAAAGAACAAAATAGAAATTGATGTCTCTTCACACTTCATCTTCATCTAATCTCTTCACATTTTATAAGAAAACCATACTTTTAAGTTAGGGTTCATAGAGTCTTGCATGTATTTGAGTGGATTGTGCTGCTTGGCATCCTCTAAATTTTGAGTAGTATTTATCAATGTATATGTTATTTATATTAGGGTTGTTGAAGACCAGACACATTGTAACATCAATTTGATATGACTTTCATTGCTTGGAGATATCACGAGCAATTTCATCAAAATCTCAATCAATTGTCATCATTCTCCTTGAAAGTCTTCCAACTAGTCATTTGTATTTTCAAAAGGATTGCCTAAGTAGGCGTCGATCGTATTTTTATCATGCTTCACTTGCTCTTGGATCTTCTTTTGTTAGAATGACATTGAGATAAAACTCTATGATCAAGTTAATGATTTACAGGGGGCTTAAGTTGTGCTAAATTGGTGTGGGATCACTTCTTGCGGAGAACTTCTTTTTGACATGCAACAAATTCATTGGGTGAATAGATTTTTTTTCCTGGTGAATTATGTGTGAGTCCTTGATTGGTTTTCATGCCAAATTCGCCAAGCAAATAAAAACTCATTGAGTGAACTACAAACAATCACCACTTCTTTGTTATGCACCAAGATGTTACTTCTGTGTTAAAAAATTGAAAATAAAAGTAAAAATTATTAATAGCTTTTTAAAAGTAAAAAATCTTTATATCTTCACAGCGAATTAACAAAACTACTGTATCTAATTTTTTGGTGTATAATTCAATACTTTTGTTAGAGGCCTTATATTCTTATTCAATTGGCGTAAGTGAAGTTAGACTTATTAAAAGTACATTAAATTAAATGCCACTACCAGTGATATCTTATCCCTATTCAAACAGTGAAAGTAGATTAACTGCCCTAGTTCAAACTCGTAGATTTAGGGTTAGTAATCCATACTCTTCTAAAATCATATTATCAGCGCGTTCACATATGATAAGCATTAAGAATAAAGACAATTAAATAAAAATATAACTTCAATTATCCAGATAACACTAAATTAAACAGTTGTCCAATAGATTCCAAACAAGTTCATCAAACACAACCTAATCTATAGGAGTTTAGCTACTCAAATTGATACAAACAAATACCAAGAAATAAGATGAAGATAACATGTGAAATCCTTGAATATTTTGCCCTCCAATGGCTTCCAATGCTCCTGAAATCGTCTTCCTAGTACCTTTTATCGGTAATTTCAGCCAAAATCAAATTAACCTTGTAAAAGTATCAAAGTTTCCCTTTATGTCCACTAAAATATGTCAGAAATGCGTAAGAAAAAGTATAAATTAAAGGCTCATCGCGCCCACGATGCGTCTTATTGCGCACGTGATACCTTTCTATCATGCCCACGTTGAGGAGCGATGGCGCGCGAGAAATATTGTAGTTTTTTCGTCTTTTTGTGCCATTTTCACCAAATTTTTACTAAGTCCTTATTTTCTCCACACTTGGTCATTTTAAGCACTTCTTTGGCACTTTTGCTTCGTATTGGCTTCATATTTGACTAAAATTACTCATAATTCTTGTTGAAAATATGTAATGACAGAGTGTCATTAAAAAGTTAAAAAAAAAATTAAAATTTTGGGGCCTTAAGCGATGACTTCATTTACCTAATAGTTGAGACGGTCCTGCTCCCACATTGGAGTGATATTAAACTTTAGGACTATTTATGCATGGAAGGTCAGTGACTTGTGGCGTGCCCCAAGGGGTATGCAATTTTGTGAAAACGATGAGAACGCACCACCATGAACCATCACACACGCGTCAAGAGTTTGTCTGGCTCGGCTCGGGCCGGGATTGAGCATGGACGATCCATTACTTTTTGGTATCTGAAATGGTCAAAATTATTTGACTCTAATTAATTTTATTGGTGTGTGTTGTAAATTAATTAATTAATTATTATTGATTAATTATTGGTGTGCTGAAAATTAATTATGAGATGATAACCCTAGTTTTTGACCAACCTTCCACGATTTTGCCTTACCTACCACATTTTCGTGTTTCCTTGCTTACCAAGTTCCATAACAGCTAGTTTTTGGCCGGATCCACTCCATTTCCCTCACGTTCTCTCCCATTCGAGTCAAATTTTCGCCTATAAATAGAGTTCTTAGCATCTTATTTTCTTTATTTTCTGTTACAGTTGTATGTTTGCATAAAATTGTCTCGGACTCATATAGAACACTATTAGCTAGAAAGCATATCAAATAAACCATAATCTTTCTTCTTTTTGTCTTTCTTTATTCTAGTGAAGTTTCACAACATAACAAATATGCAAGAATGGTGTGAGTCAATGCCAAAGGTTGATATGCATGATCATCTCAAAGGATTGTTGAAAATAAAAGGTCTAATGGAGATGTGGAAATGATTGTTGGCTTTAAGTTGCAATAAATAAGCTCAAGTAAGAGATAGTGTGCGTAGAAGTGAATTTGAAAAAGTTCATTAAAGCCTCACATTAGAGGAATGCCATATTTAGTAGTGTTTATATATGAAAAGTTGGTCACTTAAAGTGTGCCTCAAGGGTTTAATTTTATGAAAAGGTGAGGATGCACCACCATGAACCATCACATGCGCATGCGCGTGCCTTCTTTCTGGCTCGGAGTCGGGCATGGGCATGGCCTTAGGTCATCCATTATTTTTTTATATATAAAATTGTGAAAATTATTTTAAAAATTTTAATTTAATTACTAGTGTGCACTGTAAATTTATCAATAATATTTATCAATTATTATTGATTAATTATTAGTGTGTTGGAAATTAATTAATTATTAATTAATAATAGTATCCCTAGTTTTTGACCAAACATCCACAATTTTGTCTTGTCTATCACGTTTCGTTGATAACCAACTTCCATAACGATTAGTTCTGGACTAGATCCATTCCATTTCCCCCATATTCTCGACTATTCAGGTCAAATTTTTTCCTATAAATAAAAGGCTTTCTATCTCATTTTTCCACTCTAGATTTTCGTATTCATGTCCTCTCTCATCTCTGCTTCATCTAAATATTTTGTTTTTTATTTTTGAGTTGCTTCTTCGCGCCACGCGCAACTACTATAAAACAAGATACTCATAATGAGATATATACCATATTCGACTGGTTATAGTGCCATTAGAGGGTATAGTTCTATATCGATTACCTATCGTGCAAATAATCGTACCGTAAAGAGCTGAGTTGTTTTATTTTAGAGGCGTCGTGGTTGAATGACTATTTTATACAATTTTGAGTAGTGTTACGAAATGTATTAAAGAGAGTGTCATTCTCCTCATCGGCCCAATAATTTCTTCAATGACAATTTTTAATATAATTTAAAGATAAATAAAAAAATTTAAAAGTCAAAACATAATATTTTTGAACGATGTAATACATATTTAAACTTTGATTTAATAATTTTTTTAAATTTAGTTTAATAGATAACTATCAATATATATATATATATATATATATATATATATATATATATATATATATATATATATATATATATATATATATATATATATATATATATATATATATATATATATATATATATATATATATATATATATATATATATATATATATATATATATATATATATATATATATATATATATATATATATATATATATATATATATATATATATATATATATATATATATATATATATATATATATATATATATATATATATATATATATATATATATATATATATATATATAAAGAAAAAAAATTAAATTCAGAAGATAATATATTTGAAGGATGCAATACATATTTAAACTATTATTTAATTAAAAAAGTTATTTTATTTAATAGTTACCTATTCAGTTGGTTTAAAAGATCTTGAATTAATTTTTTTTAAAATAAAGCAAAAAGGAATAAAAATATATATACTTATTTAAAGAAAAAAGATTTAAAAGTCAAAAGATAATATATTTAAACGATGAAATACATATCAAATTATTATTTAATAAAAATAATAGGGAACTATTAAGTGATTTGGCTTAATAGATATGGAATATACTTTATCATTAAAACAAGTTTGTTAAAATAATAGAAACTAGATTTGGTAACAAAAGTCATGTTGCAGCTGTATGTTTGAGTGAAAACTGTCTCTGACTCATATACACTACTAGCAAGCATAGCAAATAAAACATAATCTTTCTTTCTTTTTGTCTTTCTTTATTCTTCTAGTGTAGTTTCTCCCTCAACATAACAAAAATGGAGGAATGGTGTGAGTCAATGCCAAAGGTTGAACTGCATGCTCATCTCAATGGATCCATCAGAGTTAAAACACTCCTGTACCTCTCACCAATCTCATCACTCCTTCATTTATTTCCTTCATCTTTATCATCATCATCATCATTATAACAACTTTGTTTTGTTATTCACAGAGAACTTGCCAAGGCTTTGAATGAAACTCAAACGGATGCGATAAATTTCTCTCAAATGAAACATGTCATCATGAAAAGTATGTGATGCTTTTTCATCTTTTGTTCTCCTGTTTGATTGTTGATAAAAAAAATTATTAAAAAAAAAACATCCTTAACATGTCACTCTCCTTTGTGTGTGTTTTTTTGTTGCTCATATGTTTTTGTCTTTTAGTATTGTTGTTTACCCTTCCCTTCAATTTCAATACCTTTGGTTGATATTGATGTTTATTTTGAAATTCATGAAGTTTGATTACTACACCTTTGTGTTCTTTGTGTTTGTGTTTGATTTTTGTTAAGAAAAGGAAAATACAAAATTGTTCATATTAGGATAAGCAGAAGAGTCCAGAATTAAAATTATCAGACAAAACATGACATGACTACTCTCAAACTTTCTCTTCTTTTTGTCTAAATGTTTTTGGAATTTGTTTTCTTTTTATTAGTATCTCTGTCCTTAAATATACGTCTTTTCGGTATAATTTTGAGAATTTTATTTATGTTTTCATCGTAATATTGCAGAAAAACTATAATTAAATTAGGGGTATAATGGTAAAAAAAAAATAGTTATTTTATTTGTGGTTTTGTTATTACAGAAGTTCTTTCATTGACAGAAGTATTCCATATGTTTGATCTAATTCACAATGTTATTACTGATCATAACATTCTTACAAGAATCACAAAAGAGGTATAGCTTCTTGTTTACTATAAGAATTTCGATATTCGACAAGATTCATTGAAATTTCATTTGTATTAATAATGATGATAATAGCTAAAACCAGGTGATTGAGGATTTTGCATCTGATAATGTTGTTTATTTGGAGTTGAGGACTACTCCAAAGGTAATTCGACGCGTTGTTATGTTCTTTGATCAATTGAAATAGAGATTCATTATTGATCCGATAAAGACGATGTTTGATTGTTTTTTCAGAGAAATGATTCGATTGGAATGAGCAAAAGCTCGTACATTGACGCTGTAATCGAAGGTCTAAAATCAGTTAGTTCAGTTGATGTCGATTTCATTCCAAAGACAGAAGATTCTAACAGTTTTATCAATGATAAGTACAATGGGAATTCGAGAAAAAGAATCATTGTTAGGCTTATCTTGAGCATCGACCGCAGAGAAACAACGGAAGCCGCTATGGAAACTGTAAGCTAAATAAAATGTGACAGTGATATAACAACTTTGATTTTAAGCTTCCTTTGAACATGATTTTCTTTCTTGCAGGTTAAGCTTGCGTTGGAAATGAGGCATTTCGGCGTAGTTGGAATTGATCTCTCTGGAAATCCGAAAACCGGTGATTGGTATATCGATCTGATCTAGTTCTATTAACTTGCATTTATACTTTTGAAAATCTATGCTTATGCTCGAAATTCAAAATTGCTTTTTGAATTTTGTAGGACTACATATTTACCGGCACTGAAATTCGCGAGAGAACAAGGCCTTAATGTAACACTTCACTGCGGAGAGGTGTGTTATTCTCTAGATCTTAACTGTTACTTATGAGTTTTATGAGTTTCGCGACCGGTTTAATCTTCTGGTCGAATGTATTTAGATACGAAATCCGAAGGAGATAAAGAACATGCTGGACTTTCATCCCCAAAGGATTGGACATGCTTGTTTCTTTGAGGAGGAGCATTGGAGAAGGATGAAATCTTCTAAAATTCCGGTTAGAGTTAGTTTCGCAAGCTCTTTTCGAAAACCGGTGATTGGTATAGCCTCTGTTGCATATTATTAATTTTGTTCTTCACTATTTTTCAGGTTGAAATTTGTTTGACATCAAACATAAGGACATTCTCTGTTGCATCTATAGATGTTCACCATTTTGGTAGGTGCTGCTGCTTTTGCTTTCTGTTGAATTCACAATCTGTTTTCATAAGCTATTCTGAAGAGCTTATAGAAATAAGCCAAAAACAACTTACAAACATATTAACACTTTTTTTCTTCTGATGCAGGTTATTTGTACAAGGCAAAGTATCCTTTAGTCCTATGTACTGATGACACATGTGTATTCAGTACAAGTCTCTCCAAAGAATACAAATATGCTGCTGATTCATTTGGTAAGTTTTTTAATTAAATTCAAACTAATTGACCAATAAAACACGGACACCAGAAACATGACATCGACAAATGCTGACATTTAACTCTGATATTAATTTGAAAAAATTAATTAATTAAATATAACCACAATCGTCTGTGTCGGTTTTAGATAACCGATACTAAATGCATGTGTTTTTCATGACTATTCTAGGATTGGGAAAGTGGGACATGTTTGAACTATCAAGGAATGCTGTGGAGCATATATTTGCAGATAATGGAGTGAAGAATGATTTAAGAAAATATTTTAATTCAGTGTCAAAGAATATGGAAGTGTAGTTGAATATTTTATTTATGGTATTACAATAATGGACACAAACTATAGACTCATTGGATATTTATTTTTCTGCAAAAGTTTATAATTGAATTCATGGGGAGTCAAATCGTTCACACTCTAATGGTGTTTGAGTTTGAGATTTGGTTTTCTGAATTGTTGGGTACTTATTATGTTTGATAAAAGGTGCTACTTTTCGCACTTTCAATGTCAAAACAGATGTATATGCATGTGGAAAATCCACTATTTTTGTTGTTATTTGGATGCATGTGTTTACAGAATTTATGGTGCTTGAAAATTATTCATAAAAATGAGAGATTTTTTTAGTAGGAATGGTAAAGTAGAAATTGTTACATAAATTTATGTGGTAACATTGTATCCAAGCATTTTTCTTTTGGGGAATGCACGATTACATGTGCTTCAATAGTGAAATAATAACTGTTCCATCGCTTTCAAAGGTTTGGTTCTAAATTTTATATTGTTTAAAATTGAATTTTTTTTTTCAAATTCGTTTACTTGAATAGAGTATTAAAATTATTTATTGATAAAATTTTGGAGTTATTTTATAAATTTTATAAGTTGAATCAAATTTTAAATTTGGGAATAGGGACCAATTTGTAAATTTTAAATTTTTAAAGGGACTGATTCAAAAATTGTTCGAGACTAGTTTTTAACTTTTTGAAAATTTTAGGAATCAAAATTTGAATATTTTGAAAAATACTAGGATCAAAGTTGCAGAAAATGAAAGATAAATGATGATTAATTTGAAATTTACATTGTATGTAGTTGGAGACAAATTTTAAATTTTTAGCATTTTAACAACTCTTCCTATTTTTCATTCAAATAATAGTTTTTGGCCAAATTATTTTAAATTTTTTTGTTAAATTAATTTCTTTGATTTAAAGTCTCTCATCCAAACACTTGGATCTCTTAGAATGTACTTGGATCAAGTAAGTAGAAATTTTTAAGAGTTTTAAAATTCTAAGCAATTATATGATTTAATTGAGATTCATTCATTTTTAAATTCTTTTATTTGTATAGAGTACTAAAACAATTCATTGTTAAGTTTTTAGGACAATTTTTATAAACTTTAAAAATTTTATACCAAATTTAAAACTTGAAAAATAGAGACCATGTTACAATTTTTAAAATTTTAAAGGAATCAATTCGTGAAATTTGAAAATTATTAAGAACAAATGTACAACTTTCTAAAAAATTTAAGATTCAATTTGTAAAATTTGAAAAATATAAGAACCAACTTACAATATTTGAAATGATAATATCATCAATTCGACATTCACATTCTATTGAATGTGAGAGCAATTTTAAATTATTTGATTTTAGGTGTTATTTCAAAATTATTAAATTTAATTTGGACAAAATACTTCATAAATTTTCAGCATTTTAACTATTCTTTCTATTTTTTTATCCAAATAATAAAATTTGTTCAAATCATTTTAAATTGTCTCAAAACATTAATTAAAATATTTCATCCAAACACACTTTTATAGTTCATTGTTATAAGAATTTGGTAATATTTGAAGGTTTATCTAAGCGTTCAGAAACAATTCTATATTGAGATAAGGAGATAATTGATCACAAATTGTGTAGCAAATATCAGATGTTCTTATGAAGTTTGTATAACTATTTTCTTATTACTCATTTGTAATCTTTTATCAAAGACTCTTGATTGGTAGTGGATTAGAGAAATGATCTCCTCTCCAAAGTAGATCATTCTTGATCGGATTAGATAAATAATTCATGTGTGTTGTTTCTTTATTTTGTTTTTCCTATTGTGATTCTTTTACTCTAGTTGGTAAATTAATTTTGCCTTTTTAGTAGGGTTGCTTATGTTCTTTGTCTCACACATATTTTTTATTGAAGCATTTGATCTTTATTTTTTTTAAAACAAGTGATGCTCACTGTGGAAAAAATTACTTAAATTTACAAATGAGCGTCATGAATTCTAAATGAGATATCGAGAAGTTTTCTGAAGACAACGATTTGGATCGTAGAAAGTAAATATGCAAGCAATCTTAATTTAAAAATAAATGCAGAGTATTGAAAGGTGATACATTGATGTCGATAAACCTGTCACAGGAGAAGAAGACTGAAATGGTGGATAAGGTCGGTAGTGTCATTATCTTGTGTCGTGAAGATAAAATTTTAAGGAAAGTTGCAAGGGAAAAGACCATAAAGGAAATGAGGCTCAATCTTTAATCATTATATATGCACTATGCCAAAAAAGACCTTTAGCAGCGCTTTTTTTGGCCTTTAGCAGCGCTTTAAAGCGCTGCCAAAAGTGGCGCTGCTAAAGTTAAAGGCAACGCTTTTTTTCAATGAAAAAGCGCTGCTAAAAGCTCCCTTCAGCAGCACCTTTAGCAGCGCTTTTTTAGCCCTTTAGCAGCGCTGTCTTAGACCCCCCCCCCCCCTTTAGCAGCGCTTTTGCAAAAGCGCTGCCATAGCCCACCCTTTAGTAGCGCTTTTTACAAGCGCTGCCTTAGACCCCCCCCCCCCTTCCAAACCAATAGCAGCGCTTTTGTAGCGTAATATTTGTGACCTTTAGCAGCGCTTGTATGTAAAAGCGCTGTCTAATGTCCCAGATTTTAAAAAAAAAAATTTATAAAATATTCACCCTGTTTTGTATATTTTACCAACAACCTGCTTATATTACACAAACCTGCTTATAATTCAAGCATTTATTTCAGCACTTTGGCCTTATAAATAAAATTCAAACTTTGGCCTTAAATATACAATTCAAACTTTGGCCTTATATGTACAATTCAAAACTTTGGATACATTATAACTCATGACTTTGTTCATAAACATTTTAATATACACATAAACCTGTTTAAATATGTTACAACAAAATTCGATTCTCAGAATTACAACAACACAAATACATTCAATTCACATATAATTACAAGTCTTCCAATCCGATAACTCTATACAATTCTCAACCCAAGAATAAATTGACACCATTCCTCTTTAATTTCTTCCAATTTTGCTTTCGTGTAAGTAGCGCACTTGAATTCATCATAATACTACATAATATAACAGATCGAATAAGATTTAAGTTTAAAACTAATTACTCAGATGAAGTATCGGATAATTATCAAAATGAATCATATAACTTATATAATGAATTGATCCATACCAGGACTGGAATCTCAAGTTGACTAGAAAGAATAATTTCCCTCATAAAGCGCAATACAAAATATTCACAGTCAATACCATTGCGCTGCCGAGGACACTGTAAATGGAAAAAACAAACAAACATTTATCCGGATATACAGTTTAAATAGTTTTATCAAGTAGAAACATGCGAGAATATACCTCCACTCTGATCCAGTTGATGTTGTTAGCCTTACTTTTTGGCACCGTTGCATCTCTTTGTGCTCTGAATATTTGTATAACTCTAACATAATATAAACGCATATTTAGAACAATGTCACATAATAAATAAAGATATATAATTAAAGACAACAGTATATGTCATCACTTACGTATCAACAAAGTTCCTCAGATTTTCATATTTTGTTGTATCGCCATCCAATGAATCTATATAATACACTATTTCTTTCGTCGGATTAATTGCGATCAACAACCAATGTCCACTATAAAATAAGACAACAGTTTAGACGGAAATGTTATATATATAGAAAGGGAAAAATCGAACAATTATAATAAATGAATTTAGAATAAAATCTAACCCATGGCCAGTGTTATATGGCAACAAGAACAACTTCTCCATAGTCGCGCGCATAAATCTCTGCACTGTGTACTCTTTGACTGTATCTGGTGACTGGTCTATTATACGTGAGTTGACACAGCTAGCAGATAAGAATGCGAATACTGAAGTCAATTCATTCGGGACCAATAACTTGTCATACAAGAACCTAAAAAAATATAATCAACATTAGAATATTAAGTTAAACGAGCAAATTTTAAAATGTTCAATTATTTAATTAAAATGGATCGAAGTACCTGATGTATGAATGCATAACACCGACGCCCAGTTCAGAATGGTTGAAAACCTGATCAAAATCCTCCTTAGCAATTGTTTCGGGATATTCAAAACCGAAAATACCTGCCTCCATATGTATTTGACGGACGCCACCCTCAGGCACATCTGATGTTCCGACATATGTTTCAAGGCACATCCTAAATCGATGAACAATTGCTTTTCTGGGAACCTTGGAAGTTTCAGGCATCTTACCCTTGCTGACTTGTTGCGACTGCTGATCATGAACCTAAAAGTCATATATAAGTTTAGTAATTAATATTGTATAACAAGATAGTCATGTAACTGTAGTAGTACCTGTTTCTTTGATGCAGCTGAATCGATATCCCGCACAATAATTCTATCATCTTTTGATTTGGATTTTGTAGGAGTCTAAGATCATCATGTAAATAAGAAAATGTAGATGTAAGAATAACTTTCATGTATGAATCATAAAACATTTGAGTATTAATAGGTTCAACCTACCTCATCATCAATGCAAATCAGATTTGACGGCCATGCCACATACGATCCTACTGCGTCTTCCACCACTGTTGCGCCTGAAATATCATCTGGTATAGGCAACAACGCACTCCCCTCTAATGCAATATCAATAGATACTTTCAAAAATCCAGAAGGGAGCGGTTTGTGGTGAAGTAAGTCTCCTAGAAAGTTATGCACCTTTCCCTTGCCAACCATTCGATGAGTAGGTGACGATAAATATAGCCGGCAAAGTGAAATGCCCTAAACAAATAATGATCAGTTAATGTGTCAATTAAGTAAAGTGTGCTAAATTAATTTCAATGTAATATATACAATTACCTCTGGAAGCTTCTGTGGACAACCGGTACTATCTTTGTCACTAGTAGCTCTACCCTCTGGAGCGCGTCTTTCCGCCATGTATCTCTCTTTATCCTTCTGTAATTCACGGATTTGCGCTTTCAATTCCTCCAAAGTCTCCATCACTTCTTTATTGGTTGGATTTTTTTTCTTTGGCTGCTT